ATATGCCATTGCCGGTGAAGGGCTGCAAATTTAGACCTATGCTCGGCTCTTACGGCCTTTGAGCAGGGAGGGATCTTTATTGTGCCACACCTGTTATGACTCGGGGCCTCGGTTTATACTGCCTTATCCGAAGGACCGCCCCATTTAGTCGCTTTGTACGATAAGCAAAGGGGTACTGAGGACCTTTTCTAACCTGAATTCCCACGGGGTAAAAGAACTTTGAGAAAAAAAAATAATGAGAAGAGCATATAACAAATATTGTTTCCATATACGATTGATTAACTAGTGAATATAAATAAAGGATAGATGCAATTTTATTTTCTTCAGATAAATATTTGCACGCTATATTGTTTTCTGAGTTGGGAGTTGAAAAGGTGAAAGGTTGACGATCGCTCAGGTTATTTTAAATTAAATGATACGTACTGTAAAATGGATGAATCTGTTATTCGAAGGCTGATCAATGTTTCATTCCAAGAAATCCATCCGCGATCAGACCGCATCACTCTGTAATCATGGCACAATGCCAGAAAAGCTCCAGCAGCAAAACAGTGCCCTGCACAAAATCAAAAAACATTGACTACTTCATATTTCATTTATTTTTATAAATAACTGTTGTTTCATCATTATTCACGGATAACCAATTTTCTTTTTTGAGTCCATCCACGAAGTCAAATATTCTCAGTGATTTAGTTCTTCCATTTTGAGTTATGATAAAAAAATTTTAAAAAGCCTCTTGCACTTGTAATTAATATATATCAAGAACCCTTCCCCCTTAACCCAACAGGTTGGATTTATAATTGTATTTTTTATACCCCGCTCCGAAGGAGAGTGGGTATAAAATTGGTTGACCCTTGTGAGTCTTTCCGTCCGTCTGTCCGTCTAGCTGTCTGTCCGTCCGTAACAAATTTTCGTCAAAGTTTCTCAGCAGCTACTCATCTCAGATGCTTGACATTTTGACATATTCTCTGAGGCATGCCATATGTTGGGATTCATTTTTGTTCAAATCTTAATGCCAACTTCCTGTTTATTTGTGGGCCTGTCTGTCGCATATGTAACAAATTTTCGTTGCAGTTTTTTTCAGCAACTACTCATCGAAGATTCTTGAAATTTTAACACAATCTTCTCTGAGGCATGGCATATGGTGGGAATGATTTTGGTTCAAATCTATGACAAATTCCTGTTTGCCCGTGCGTCTGTCCGTTCATACATGTTTCACACATAATTTTTTGTCACAGTTTTCAAAGCAAATACTCATCGCAGATGCTTTACATTTTAACACAATCTTCTCTGAGGCATACCATATGCCGGGATTTTTCTTCTTTAAATCCGATGTCAACTTCCTGTTTGTCTGTGCATCTATCTATTTCAGACATGTTTCATACATAACAAATTTTTTGTCACAGTTTTCTCATTTACTACTCATCACAGATGCTTGACATTTTAGCACACTCTTTAATGGGGCATGCTATATAGTGGGATTCATTTTTGTTCAGATCAGATGTCAACTGCCTGTTTGTTAGTGCATCTGTCCGTTTCATAAATGAACAAATTTTCGTGACAGTTTTCCCAGCGACTGTACTCATAATAGATGCATGAAATTTTAGTACATACTTTGTTGAGGCATGCAGTATGCTGGATTGAGGCATGCAGTATGGTGAATCTGATGTCAAAATCCAATTTTCCGGTCATATACCCGTAACGTTTATTATCATGATTTTGTATATTCACATCAAAGCGGGGGTATTACTAGTGAGCGTTGGCTCACAGATTTCTTGTTGTCATTATAGGAATACAATTACCTGGTAAATTTTCGTAAATATTTTTAGCAGTTTATAAATTTTGCACAGTGATTAAAAAACAAAACGCAACACTTCCTACGCGGTGCATATGCCAATCAGTGGCATCAAAATAACACAGACATGATTAATTATCAGGTGTTAATTCATTATTCGCAAACAATCTAACGGTCCAACTACTATAATCACCTGTACAATGACATTATAAATTATCGTAAAATGCGAAGATGACAAATAGGCAGAATTATAAATTATTACTCCCTCTTCATATCTCCTTAAATTGTACAAATAATTAATAAACAGAATTAAATGCTTATTTGACAAATATTTTTTGTTCATCATGAGAAGACGGGTATGTGTATTGCGGAAGTCCTGCAATATCGAAGTACCTCAGGGCTTGTCCATTAATTTGCAAGTTTTAAAATTGTTGGGTCGTATCCAGCAAGTGTTGAACTTTTGAAAACAAGGAGATTCAAGATGTTACCACCAAGTCTAGAAACACACGCTGTACATGTGAAAGTAAGTCTCTTACGCACTGTATCAATTTTAGAATATTTTATGAGTCTTTTCATTTCACATGCTGAATACATGTACTATAAAAAAGTAAAAATTAATAAAAAAAAAAAAACATCATCAAGGATTGGAACCCAAGACCTCCTACACATCAAGCGAGTGATATAACCTATACCTCGGATGTCTTTATGTAAATTGTATGCAAACAATGGGTCAAAAATATGTATTTACATTACTGAACAGTTCTAATAGATGTAATACGACTACAATAGGCGAATGGCCTCATAGGTCACCTGGGTATCATCTAACGATTGAATTTGGATGGTGTTTTAAACCAGAGGCCAGGAAATAAAAATTCACAATTTTGAAATAGGCAACGTTGCTTATCATAACCATACAATGAGCATACTTACTTTGGTTACTTAATACTCAGAATAACAAAGCGAAAATGCATTTACACGTTATAACCAGTAGTGTACCCCAACTTACAAGAACCATTGGCCCTGGGGCCTCAAATTTCAAAATTTTGTCGTAAATTTTATTTCATTATCAATGATTGATTAATGCCAAGGAGCACATTTCAAATCATTAATTTATTTTCAGACTATATACATGTACCCCACCCCCATCCAGCCCCAGAGTACCCCTGACCCAATTGACTATTTTGCAAGAGGCATTTTTTTTATCATAAATATGTACTTAGATCATTGCATAATATCCAGAACAAGGGAACAAATCAAAGAATTCATGCATTTTCACTATATAATCATTAGAGCCCCGTTTCAACACAAAAACGCCTGACCCAAAGGTCCTGAAATTCACAAATCTAGAAAAGGCATCCTTCCTCATCATAACTATGTACAGTAGTTCATTGGTTTAATACCAAGGAATCATCCTCGAAACAGTGATTTTTACTAAATCCACGAAAATTGATATCCACGAAAATATTAATGAAACTACGGTTTTTATTTATACAATTCATTAATTTTTAGCAAAATAATTTTTGGGGCCTTAATTGTAATAATTATGAAACATTTTTAAGTCGTCGAATCAGTATTTGAGAAAAACAAATAAAATACATCTACATGTACAAAGGAAACAGGCTGCAAGGACAATTATAACCTTTTAATCTTACCGTTAATGGCGGCCACAGTGGGTATCGGAAAGTGCATGATTCTCCAGAGGGTATCGTGCAGGTCGGCGAGGAACTGCCTCCCAGCATCACTAGATCTCCCAATAGAGTTCACCCAATCAAGGTCAAGGCCATTACTGTAAAATTTGCCCTCGCCTGTGGTCACCAATATCGAGGCAATTGTTCCTGTAATTATAAAGTAAATAAAAATAAGAGTACATGAAGTAAAGTTTTTTAATAAAATGAACAGATAATTTATAAAAGCCGTTAAATTTATAAACGCCTATAAAGACTAGGGAGATTTTAAAAAATGTATGAAAAGCAAACCGAGATCTTATACAATCCATTCTCTCAGATGAAATGATAACGAATTACCGATAATTTAAAAAAACAATACGTATCTCGGGTAAATGATAATTCTCTCCGAAGGGAATGCATATCATTTCAACGAAACGGATTATTCATCTGCGTTTTATATATATATATATATATATATATATATATATATATATATATATATATATATATATACTGAGGAAAAAGAAACGCAGGGTAAACTTTTTGAATTAAATTTGTTTTTCAATACCCTTCTAATTTTTAAAATCATATTTCAGATGGACCAAATTCTGTTATAATGAATTATTCTGAGTTATTGAAGCTCAAATGACGATACACAAATTACACGTCCATCCCTTGCATCTGTCAGAGTCTTATTTCTCCTTTGCATGGAATTTATGAGTGTTTATTCTCTATATTTAGCACGTTTAAACGGCGCGCGCATGCGCCAGTTACAACAGTAAGTTGACTGGCTCAAAAAACCAAATTGCGTTGTTTTCCAAATTTCGTATGAATGTAATGATTATAATCGTGTAAATAATTATACTGAGATTTACCCGCTTCATGGCTCTGTGCATAACGTCATCGACGGTTGATTGAAATCCACTCCATACGTTTTTTCAGGGGGGAAAATTACAAGAGACTGCTTAGTAAACCGTTGTTGCCTTTTTCATTAATTAGGCAGTACACATTGAACTTCAACCTTTGCAATAAATTACAAAGTCTCTTAATATTGAAAAACGAGTCCATACCTCATATGCAAAAATTACATTACAAACATTTTTCAAATTGCCATTTTCCCTAACTATGAATTTTATTGATATTTGTACTATTTTGATGCACAGTAACTTGATTTCCATCTGAACAATTGTCGTTGTTCGGTCATGTGGTCAAATTTTTATAATTATTTCTTTTTCCTTTCAGTATATATATATATATATATATATATATATATATATATATATATATATATATATATATATATATATATATATATATACGAATGAATAGAATGTAAAGCGAATCACATTACATATTACAGTTAGAAAATTACATTAACATTTTTCAAATTCATTAACTAGTATTGATATTTGAGTACTACACAAAAGTCTTGTATAATTATTTCCGAAAATTCTTATTGATAATTAAAAAAAATACAGAACGCCTGGGAACAGGATTAAAATCGTAATTCGTTTTATTCGAGATCTCGACTTATTAATCTGTGAAAACGTTTGTAATTCGAGATTCGATTTAAAAATCGGAGGAAAGAATTCGTGTGTCCCAATTCGGGGCTTTATAATTTGAGAAGGAGAAAATGAGTTTTTTTTATATTTTCCCTTATGAATATGAATTCAACGTTATGAATTTATTTAACGAAAGATATGTATGAATTCTTATTCAATTGTACATATTGTAATTAATATGATTTTAATGAGCATGAAATGACGGGAGTATATATACTCATCAGCACTGATATATGTTATTGATGCACCATAAAACACAAAAACGTTCTATTTTCTGACCTTCTATATTTTGTGGCCAGAGCTCCCATTTATTAAATTTTCAATAGGTCAAAGGATTATCTCGTAAAAATGCTGATTATTAAAAACTTGTTTTTTCATATCAAATGTTGCTGTAGTCTTTAAAAATATAATACAAGCCTTTCCACCTCGTCCAGTGCGTTATTGAGCTGATTCAATGTCGTCAAGTTCCAGCGATTTTGTCCATTTTTCATTCTGAGAAGGGCACATCCATCGTCATGAAATTCTACCGTTATCCCCATCTTTAACTTTCAGTATTATACCTTGGTGTAAGGTCTGTTCAGTTTATTTTGATTGTTATCACATTGACCCCGGTGTATGGAAGCGGAGTACAAGATAAATTCAATGATTACATTTAAAAACATCTCAATAGTAATTGTCTAAGTAACGCCAGGAGAAAAACAACAGTATGTTAATGATTAAGTCGTAAAAAATGTTCCACCAACTTGCATGTGCAATAATATGTATAATGTTAACGGAAAACCGTTTAAACGTTTGGAGGACGATAACCGAGATAGCAAGACTATGTTGGGCCAACATTGACAAAAGGTTGTATGGTTGGCGTTGGGGGAACAACGTTCGGCCAACGTTGGCCATGGACCAATGTCACCATACCAACCTTCTCGACCATGACAGAATTCCTATGTTGGCCCAGCGTTGGTCCAACGTTAGCAACTTCCACTGACTTTACTTCCCAAGGAAGGAGGGATGTTGATGTTGGCCCAACGTTGGCACAATGTTGTAATACACCATTAAAGAAAGTGTTTTTAAAAGTTGGTAGTAGTATGTTTGCCCAACGTTGGCCCGTTGTTTGTAATACACTCTTAAAGAAAGTGTCTTTTAAAGTTGGTAGAAGTATGATGGCCCAACGTTGGCCCGATGTTTGTAATCACACCCTTGAAGAAAGTGTCTTATCAAGTTGGTAGTAGTATGTTGGCCCGACTGGCCCGATGTTTGCACAGCGTTCTTTTGTTTAGGTGTTTCAAAGATGGGATATTTATATCGGCTAACGCTGGCCCAATTATTATACTGCCAACTTAATGATGGTGTCATGTTTAGCTGCCGAGTTTTACGTTGGGACAACATTGGTTATAATTAAGTTTTTTGAATTATATGCACATTCTGAAATAATTAGGAGGACATTCTATGTCCATGCTTTTAATCGGATGACTGTTTTTTGTTTAGATCCTATATTTTCAATATTTTAACTTTAAACTTAAGTGATCACAGCACCAAAAAGTGTTTCATTA